TTCACACACATGAAAAAGAGAGTGGGGGGACGCTTTGTAACAAATATCCAGAATTGAGCAAAACAAGTTCTCACATTGGCTATGACCAAAAATGTTTGTCCTATTCTATATATTTTAATCTGTCACCCTTCTGTCAGGTGGTGGTTTCTCAGTTTTGATAGGTCTAATTTGATTGCTAACTACTATGCATACTTATTGATTATATTGAAATTTGCATTAATTACTGTTATAAGTTTCATTTCGGGGTTGCTTTGTCTTGGAGATGTAATATCCATAAGTACAGCTGACCTCTGTGAAGTGCCTAAAAATACCATTGTATCCCCATTGACTTATTTTGGGGGTTACTGGCAGCCTTAATGTTTAGGAATGCTTACTTGGGCCATCTTCCCGTTGATTTTTGTCCTTTTGTCTTCTTATTGCCTCAAATCTTAGAATCTTTGAAACCATGCATTTTCTGGGTTAAAACCAGAATCTTTTTCTATCCACGCCCTTAAAAATTTAAGTATCCCTTCCTAATAAGTTCTTTTCATTGTTTTGTGAATGAGGAAAGTATCTTTGCCTCTAAGTAGATTTGACTCTAGGCAGTGTGTGAAAAATGTTGATGGGAGATGAGAAGAGATGTCTCAGATGTTTATTTGTGCCACAAGATGGAATTAGGTTGTTGGAATAGTGTTGAGTTAGAATATGGGACAGTATTAGTGAAAGATGCTTAACATATGAAAAAAAATGTATGAGGATAGATATTTGCTAGATTTTTCTTTAGTTTTAAAGTGTAAACTTTGATGTTAATGGAATAAGAATTTGGGTAAAAGATTAAAAGCTATTGTCTCTTGAAGAAAGGTAACAACAAACTATAACAGAAATTTTGAACAAATTATTTTAACTCTAATACTATGGTTGTACAAGCTTTTCATGTTATAAGCTTGATCTTTACAAATGCATTGTTACAAAATTTATAAAGTAGAAAGTAAATTTGATGCATGCCTTATGAACCTTACATACTTTTTCAGATCCCTCTGGTATTATTTTGCTGTCAATAGTAGGTCAGGCCTATGGTCTAGTTCAAAGTAGAGCCAGCGAAAAATAGAAGATGGAAAAGGGAAAGACAGGTGGAGATCTTGCACTATACTTTTGATTGTAGGCTAATTTTATAAAAGAGTATAGTTTTGATATGCCTTAAAGTGAAATCTAATAAAGCTGTGAAACTGGACCCCATATTAATTAGCTCTTCCCTTTTGCTAGAATTTTTCAGTACTTTGCTGAGGATTATCCTGTAGGAGTATCTTTTTTGGTTTTAGGGTATAAGTCAGTAGAAAACATAGTTAGATTTAATAGAATTTTTACTGCCAGTTTATAGGAAGACATTTCTTTAACACTTTGGCATTTCATTTGCACATAATGACACCTGTGCCTATATAAGCAAATTAAGTTCAGAAACACTAATGTCTTGGGTTACATTCTGATCATGAAATTATTTTCAAAGTATTTTTGTTTTTGGTTTTGTTTTTTTGAGTCAATCAGGGTTAAGTGACTTCCCTAGGGTCACACTACTAGTAAGTGTCTGAAGCTCTATTTGAACTCAGGTCGTCCTGATTCCAGGGGCCGGGGCTCTATCCACCATACCATCTAGCTGCCCCAAGGGTTTATAATCTAATATAGAGAAGACTTCAGGAAGTAATTGAAATATTTAACTGTATAGGTTAAACATTGAAATATTAAAGATATATATAGAATTTGGTAGGAAAATATTCCCAAATTCTCTAGAGAAGCTTATTTAGGCATTCCCTGTCTTCTCTTCCTTCTTTCTCCCTTCCCTTATCAGCATAAGCCTATAGTATAGGCAACATTCTATCCCCATAGTACCCTGCCTGTCCAATGACAGGAAGATGGCATATTGCCTTATCTCTTTCCATAGGTACAGATTAGTTACTATCATTACACAGTGTTCAGGGTTTTTGCTGTTTTATCCCTGTATTGTGCTCTACACACACACGCGCACACACACACACACGTTCTGTTTCACTTTGCATTAATTCATAAATTTTCTCATTTCTCCAGATTCCTCATATTTGCCTTACAACACTGTCATGTTCCATTAAATTAGAGTGTATGACATAATTTGTTTAGCGATTCCGTAATTGATAGTCACCCACTTTCATTTTTTTGCTGCCACAAAGGTGTTGCCATGACCACTGGTATATTTGGGACCTTTCTTTCTGTCTTCGATATGCTTGGAGTATGGGCTAGCAGTGGTATCTCTGGGTCAAAGAGCATTAACTGTTCAATCACTTTTTTTACATGATTCCAAATTGTTTTCCAGAAATGTTAGACCAATTCACAACTGCCAACAGCTTATTAATATATCTGTCTTCTGGGAGAAATTTTATTTGAGGATATGGACCCAAAGAAGGACTTGGAATGATGAATGTGTCAGACTAATAGGATAAAGGAGACTATCTCAGATGAAGGGTGGCAGTAGTAATTTACTTCTTTTAGCTAGGGAGAAGGGAATGCAGGAGACAAAGTGAAACTGACTTGCACAACAGATTAGAGAGTCACAATAGAGAGTTGAGGAGAACAAGGGAGAATGTTGAACTTGTGTAAAATTTTAAAGACTAAAGTTATGTATATAGTAGTCAGCATGAAGACAATAGAAGGTTTTCGGAAGGGTGGGATATAGTCAAGCTAGTGGACACAAATAGGTGATTTTTTGGTCTTTTCTTCGTTTGAGGACTGGAGGGTATAGAGGTGAGAAGAACTTGTGAGGAAGGCATTAGGAAAGGTCAGGAAAAATGTTCTTATTCCACTGATTATATTTTTGGTGAAATATCGCAGTTGAAATTGTGGAGGAGTAGTAATGTAATGCTAATTTTCCAAAATAGCACAGGCTGCCTTCATCCAACCACCACTTTCCCTCACAATACTTATGAGTTTGTATTCCAAACTGATTAGACTGGTTTAGAAAGATTTGATTTTAAAAGAGTTGCCCTAAGAAGGATGTAAATGATTTTCCTGGTGTCATTACTGAGTTTAAGCAAAGAATCCTTCCCAAAATTGAAAAGCAAAAAGTTAACTACAGTTTCATTCTTAAAATAAATGCTTCAATAGATTTTCAAGGAAAAACAAAAACTTTGAGAAGTATGCATTTTTGTTCCTGTCAGATTTAACTATTCTTAGTATTATTAGTTCCTTTAAAAGTTTCCAGCAGGCTTGTTTTTGATAAATGGTTTATGTATTTGTTAGGGCTAACTAGCTTTGGTAGATTTTCTTTGTGATTCTTGTTGCTAATTCACTTACTCTATGACCATCAAGTTAGTTAAAAGAGATGTTCCCATTTAGCTATATTTTATATGACTTCAGTTATATGACGAACAATGGATTATATCTACTCTAATGAGATTTCTTTAAAGTTGGACTATCTTTTCAGTAATTATGGTATTTTATTTTTAACCTATTTAGGGACCAAAAAAAAAAATCTTTGGAACAACATGTTGTCAATAACAAATATTTTATCTAATATTTCATTAGCAGGAAGATTTTAAAGTTATATAGGTTGCCTAAAGTATATTCTCTGTGTTTGGACCCATAGAGAGTTGGCTGCAGTTCATATAAAGTGATTTCAGCATCTGTTTTTACCCAGATTTAAACAGTCATCAATCTTGTTCCTAAAATCTCTCTCTCCCCTAAGGTACTTATATATTTGACAAATCATGAGATCTATGCTGTTGTTAAAAAAAAAAAAAAAGAAAAAAAATTTCCTGAAGTTGGTTACTTTGAAGATTATGTTAGCATGTAAAGATGTTGTTGACAATGGAGTATCTTTTCTGCGGTAGAGTGTCATTTTTTTTCCCACTCCCATACCCTTGGAGACTCTGGCAGGGCTCTGGATGTGAGTTCTATAATTAAGGTTCCCTAGTGTGGCTCAGAACTACCTAAGATATTTTCAAAATTTTTGCAGTACCTTGGAAGTTACAAAATGCTGAGGCCAAAATTTTCTTGTATCGACTCCCCTGTCGATGCAGATTTGAATGTCAGGAGTATTTGTTGATGGTTTTCTATCACTTGCACTTAGAGAACCTCAATTAGATGTGTGGTAACTTGGAAAAGTGGTCATAGTGACATTATAAAATTTAATGTAACTTCCTGCACACAGATAATGAATAATCTTTGTATTTTATTTAATACACTCTTATAAGACTCAGACATTAGCCATTTTACCAAAACACAAATGTAATTAAGCAAAATTATTCATTCTCGAAGACAAAAGAATACCATATATAATCTGTTCCATTTTCTTGAGCCTGTATATTTAGAATGATCAGAGAAAGGGAAATTTTATGTTGTTTTAGAGGATTACTGATTTAGAATTTTTTTTTTGCAAAGATGAGTTAAATTTATATTTGGTCTAGTTCATGAATAAAAATTTATATTATTCTCTCCTTGTACATATTTAAAACTTAAAGGATTCCAAAATGCCTGGGCAGTCTTTTGTATTGATTGAGTCATGTGCCACAATCATACTCCTAAGTGATGTGCCTTAAGGCAAAAAAATGTACATACAAATAAAAAAAAGTATACTCAAGATAAAAAAAATGTAGATTGTATATGTTAATTTGGGACATGAGCTTATAATTTGTAATAGTGCTGGAAATAGTTTATAGAAAAGTGTGTTATGTAGAGATTTGGAAGTAAAGAATGATCTTATATTTTCATGGAAATACTTTTTAATTTATCTGACTATCCTGTTTTAAAATCATATATAAAAAGGCTAATGGATATGTCCACTGACACACACTTGTTACGATTGCTATCTGATATAAGAAAACTTGTTAGCCATCTCTTGAAATTATCATTAATTACAAAACAAATTCCTTCCCAAATATAACTTATTTATATCTTAGTACCTGAAGAGCTATCAGTTTTCAACCTAATATATCTAAGCTATTTGAGCACCAATTTTACAAAAAATGAATTTAGTAATGGCCTTCTTTTACCTTCAGGTCGTCTAAACTATTCATATCCAGGATCTGATAGTTCTCTGCTTATTAATGGTAAGTGCTAATTGTCTTAAGTTAGTGAAGTTCAATGAACTAGAAAAATTAGTAGCTCGTGAGGAAGTATAGTAGTTCTACATGCAGCTCAATCAGAAAATAAGTTTTATGAAAATAACTTGGTATTATGTAGATTTAAAATAATTTGAGGATACTAATTTTAATTCACTTTTAATTGTCACAGAAAATTACCATAAAGATTTGAGAAAAGACTGAATTGCTAGAATATGTTGGCAATTAAAAGAAATGAAAATCCCTTAATGGTATATAGAGTTTTACAGCATATTAGAGCCAAACAAAATTATCAAGATCTACTCTACTCCTCTAGTTTTATATATTAGGAGTGTAAGAATTGTTGTTGAGTCATGTATAACTCTTCATGACCTCATTTGGGGTTTTCTTGTCAAAGGTACTGGAGTGGATTGCCATTTCCTTCTCCAGCTCATTTTACAGATGAGCAAACTGAGACAAACAGGATTAAGTGACTTGCCCAGGGTCACATTGCTAGTAAGTGTTCTGAGGCCAGATTTGAACTTAGGAAGGTGAATCTTCCTGATTCCATGCCCACTACTTCCATTGTGCCACCTAGCTGCCCCAACTGACATGAGTGTTGCCTCAGACAGACTGAGACCTAGGAAAGACCTTAGCTTAAAAAGACCAAGTCTCCCACTACATCTAGGCTCATCTCCAGTAGTCCTGAACTGTGGCTTGCCCTGGACTCAGATGACCCTGGAGGAGAGAGTGAGGCTGATGACTTTGTACAGCCCTGCCTCACTTAAATCCAGTTCAGTTGCAAATCAAGACACCCTCCTGATGTCATTGGTCCTCTTTGAGAATGAAGGACAAACAGCAACACCTACCCCACTCCCCACCCGCATTCTGTAATTGTAATCTTAAAAATGTTGGCTGGATTGGCATTTTCATAAAGAAGTGTGGCATGGTGGTTGATACTTAAAGACAAGAACTATCTTGTTTCATATCTTTATCAGTGTGCATTGTACATAATAACAGTAGCAGGCATTTATATAGTGCTTTAAAGTTTACAAAGCACTTTCCATACATTATTAGAGTTTCACAATAACCCTATGTGGTGGTAGGTAGTAATAGTGCTGTTACTGCTATTCCTTTTTTTTGTATGTGGGAACTAAGGTTCAGAATACGTAAGTGATTTGCTAATGGTCAGGTTATCAGAGAGATTGGAACCTGAGTCTTCCTGACTCAGTCCAGCCCTCTATCTGTTATTCTGTCCAGTAAGCACTTGATAATTGTTAACTGAATCCACTTAAATAATGGCTAAATATATAATCAAGTATTTAAAACCAGAAAAGGCATATTTATTATCAATATCACTAAAACACTAGAGAAGATGTTATAGTATGTAAGCTATAATGTGAGGAAGACAAGGACAAAGTTCCAGTGAGTATGGTAGTGGCTTTATTTGCTGTAACTGTGTTAAATTATCATGTATTTAAACATCATTAATCAGACAAGGGTTCTTTTTCTGTAAGGATTCTATTAAGTTCTAAAAAAATTTACCTAATTTTACCTAATATATTGAGTATACGGTAAATGTTATCTTTCACTTATGTCGGCTTTGAATATTTGATAATTAGGAAGTATATCCTAAAACTATTATGACAAACTCCAAAGGGAAGCAAAATGAAAAATTCATATAAATTTACTCATTGACTGTCATTTTTAACTAAGTCAAAATCCTATGGCAACTTTTAGAACTCAAACATTTATAAATGAAGAATAAAACCCAGAAAGAGTAAAGAACATCTCTTGCCTTTCTGTGTCCCATAGAGAACTAGCTAGTTAATGTGAAGCAGAGGTGGTTTCTTGATGAGTCATCTCCTGACTGCATGTGGAGTACAAGATCTTTGAGAGAAGAGGGAAAGGCCTCATCTGACCTTCAGCTTCCACTCTCTACAGAAATAGACACTTCTGTCTATACTCGTTTCATTGAAGCTATTTAGGTACAGCAGGGCCTTAAAATAACCCTAAAGTTTGGAGAAATCCCCTCATCCTGCCACCACCCTTTTGAACCTGTACTTTGCATATAGGTAGTACCACAAATTGTAGTGGAACTTTAAAAATCTCAGAGCTTATACTAGTGATAAAAATAGTCTAACAAAAGACCTATAGAACCCTGGTGGCTCAAGGGATCACCAGTAGAATCCACCTTACATCTCGTGGACAACAGGCTGTCTGTCTGTCTGTCTGTCTCTCTGTCTCTGTCTCTCTGTCTCTCTGTCTCTCTCTCTCTTTCTCTTTCTTTCTCTCTCTCTCTTTCTCTCGGCCAGAAATGCATATTGCTGTTCCCAGAGCATTATATCTTGGTTTTAACACAGGTGTGGTTCTTCATTATAGAAGAGTGAAAAAACACCCTATATACTTTTCTCATCTCAGCCTGTAGATTATAAGGAATAAGTTGAGGATAGGGAGAGGACTTCTGTGGTTTTAGACAGTTGCAGGTAAGAGCTTTGACATTTCCTCATTTTGCATTCTACAACAGTAAAATCACATGTCTGAACCAAAAATAAAATTACTTCTATTTTTTGAGATATATTTATTATGGTATTTGAAAGCACTACATATGATATTTAGTTCTTAGGAAGGAAGATGCAGTGAAAATTTAAATTTTTATTTAATAATAAAACAAAGTAAACCCTTATAGTTAGTGCATGCTTCTGTCCTAAAGATCCTCTAATGGCTTTCCATTGTATACCTTGTCAAAACTTAGGTCCTTTAGTAGCTACTACTCTTAGGTGAATATACTCAATTTTTCTATTATGCTTTCTTTTATTGATTTAACAAATATTGTTTGCTTGTTGCAGAGCATGGTGCTAAGTGCTAGGGGAGATACAATTTTTAAAATAAGACATAGTACCTGCACTCATAGAAGCTCATAAAGATAATATATAAACAGAAAAATAAACAATATTTTATAAGTGCCTTTGAAAGTTAGGAAGGCTTAATGGAGTAAGTTGTATTTGCATTGGGACTTAAACAATGGGTAGGAATTAAACAGGAAAGTAAAATAATATATGTAAAGTACTTTGCAAACCTTAAAATGGTATATAAGTGTTAGCTGTTAAATATTAGGTGTTGGAAGGACATTCCAGACATATAAAAAAGTGGAAGCAAAGTATAGGGGCATAGAGACCAGTTTGGCAGTCATCCCACATCTTTCCCTGAGCCTTCACTCAGGCTATTTCCTTTACTAGAAAGATTACCTTTCTTTGCTCACCAAATTCACTCCTCATTTGGCATTTAAATGCTGTCTCCTTCTAGCCCAGATACAATAGCATTTTTCTCTTCTCTCTTCTCATGCTCCTCTCTCCCCAGTGAACTTACTCCATTGCTTATGCATAATGTAAAAGACTTTTGGGGGGGAAGAGGTGGAAGGAGGAGACCAGATATGGGATTTCCCTGGTGTAGGGAGCTCCTGATAAGGCAGCTTAAAATAGTTGAAATATCTAATATTCAGTTTACATCTTTCACGTATTGCATTTGTTTAAAACAGCAAGCTTTTGGAATACTGGAACAGTTTGGTGTTCAGTATATGATGGTAACTAAAATATTAGTCCTAGTGTTTTTGTCATTTCTTCTATATGAAATATGAGTTCCTATTTCCATTAGTTGATTGTAGATTGATTTTTCTCTTGATTAAAAATAAAAACAGAAGATAGTGTAACATAATGGACTTGTGTGTTTAAAGAATTCTAGATTTGGCTCTGCTGCTCATTTGCTGTGTGACATTGGGGTAGTTTCTCAGTGCTTTCTGGACATAAGAGGTGCTAAGTAAATGTTTTAATTTGAATTTCAACTTCAGTTTCCTTATCTGTGAGTAACACTAGCTGATTTTTAAGACGTCTTGAAGCTCTAAATTTTTTTGTCTTATAAATCTCACAGTTTTGTTGTAGTCCAGGGTGCCTAAAATGAGAAATGTGTATAGAAAAACTTACTGTTGAATCACCGCAAAATAATTAGCTATTGCTAAATACTACTAGGGAAGTAACATGGTACAGTGAATAGATTACAGATTTTAAAAGTCTGGAGCACCTGGATTTGTATCACACAGTTATAGCTAGGTAACTTTATCAAATCAAGTCATTTAAGGTCACAGAGTCCCAGTTTCCTCATCTATAAAATCAGGATAGTATGTACCTCACAGGGTTGTTGGGAGGCTCAAATAAAATAATGTATATAGAGTTTTACAGAGATTAAAGCATTATAAAAATGTTGCTGTTGTTAAAATTTTATGTAGACTTGTGATCTCTTAGCCCATTGAGCATTAAATGTCAAGAAAATAAGATGTCTCTTCTCCCCTTCCCCCTCCCCCCAAATGTACAAAATAATACAAGTCAAGTCAAGTTGATCTAGCAGTATTTAGGATTACCATGTACCTGATGGCTCAGAGTTAAGCCCTGGGTTTACAAAGAAAGGCTAAAATACTCCCTGCCTTCAAGGAGCTCACATTGTAATGGAGAAGCTAACATGTAAGCAGCTGTGTACAAACAAAATATATACCTGATAAACTGGAGGCCATCTCCAAGGAAAGGTTTGAAAGGAGATAAGTAAAGACTTCTTGAAGAACGTGAGTTTTTAGCTGGAAATTTGAAGCCAGGAAGTAGATATGAAGAGGGAGAGAATTCCAGGCTTGGCCAATAGCTGGTCAAAATACAGAGGATCAGGAAATGGATCTTATTCAAGGAACAGCAAAGAGGCCAGCACTACTAAATCAAAGAGTACATAGGAAGAATAAAGTTGAAGAAGACTAGAAAGGTAGGAAGGGGCCAGTTTATGAAGGGATTTAAAAGCCAAACAAGATTTTATATTTGACTCTGGAAGTAGTAGGGAGCCACTAGAGCTTATTGGGGCTAACTCTCTAAGAAGAGGTAATAACATGATTAGACTGGTTTCTCAAAGGCAATGCCAGTAGAGCACAAGCTGAGTCAGGTCCTACAAACTGGAAAATTTCAAGTATGAACCTA